TTTTGAGTGTTTTGTCAGGTGGAGGTACACCTGAGTTGATGAGGGATTTGGATGCTACAAGAGATTCTTGGATTTAACATCACTATACTCGTGAAAGCAGTGGGTTGGTGATGACTTGTCAGAAAATCAGGTGTCTATTTAAGTTTTTCGGGTACAATTTTTGGAATTGGGATTGGATGAAACTCACAATCAGGATGTTTTGAGTATTTTGTTTTCATGGTTTGGTGGTGTTCCTAGTTAGGTAACTGGGGATAGGTGTGACAATTGGATGATCATCAGTCATAGGGTATGGTTTCTGAAGTTGAGACTTGGAATGATTGGATTAAGTTGAGAAAAATGCATTTTTGGTCCCTTTGAAGTTGGAACTTTAACCATTATGGAGCTATTAGGAATTTTATCTTGGCTTTGAGTGAAAGGTCTTAATGTATCAAGGGTTTCAAATGAAGTTTTGGATCTGGAGACGTACGCAGAGTGTACATAAAGTTACGTAGAGCATAGCCTGGTTGGACCCTTTATTATGAAATAAGGCTTTATGACATGCGTAGAGCTGGAGTATGCATCACGTAGGTCAACGGAAGTAGTGCTTGATTTTTGGAACCGTGGACTTTTGGTCAACTATTAGGGTAGGTCTCGGGAAGGGAAAAATGGTCTTTTGCCCTTAGAAGAGTTAGTCTTAGTCTGAGGACTTGTCGTTTTTATTTTATTACATTGATTTTGACTTATGGATGTTTTGCTAAATTGATAGTGTAAGGAGTTCGGGGGTCAGCATCTCTAGCTCGTGTTTTCTCTTTGATAGTTGATTGAGGTAAGTTTTCTCACTATACTGTAGGACACTAGATGTCCTATTTACTTGTTGCCTTTGTGACACTTCTTGTATGTTTGAATGCCTAAATGATATATGTTTATGGGGTGAAATAAACTCATTCGGTTGAAAAAGACCGATTCAGTCAGAAGGGAATCGGGGGTGACATAGTCCTAACGGTGAAATAGAATCATTCAGTTGAAAAATACCGATTTAGTCAGAAAGGACTCAGAGATGAAATAGACTCGGGGGCAAAATAGACCCATTATAGCCTTGTTCTGATATGTATGTATGGTATGTGGTATTTTGGGGAGCTCACTGAGCTTTTTACTTACGGTTTATCTTTAAAATTTTCTAGGTACTTCTGGTTTCAAAAGAAAGGGCCCGGTTTGATCGCACTGCATCCCCTGCAGATTTATTTCGCACTGAATGTTTACGAATTACTTTGACGTTTTGTGAATACTTCGACTCTGGTCGTCTTTTGGAAAAATAAAGGAATGGTTTTTCATTTATTTATAATGTAAATTTTACTTGGTATTTTTGGGATGTTACACTATCATTACAAAAATGTTGGAACAGAGAATGGATGGGGATTATATAAAGTGGAACAACTGGACAATAATAGCGATCCCAAAAGAGAATTTGTGGTAATCTAATATTATTTTAAATTTTGTTGAATCACAACATAATCAAATATGAACAGTCATAGTTGATTTAATTGTAAAACACTTAATTTTTTAATTTTATTTTGATTAGGTACAAATAAAACATCTAGAAAAAGATTTAAAATGCAATTGTACACACTTTAACTGCTTGATGACTTTGTGCAAACACACATTCAACATAATCTTGAAATATGTAATTAAGGAAATACTTGAACAATGCATTGTGAATCGTTGGAGGAAGGATGCAATATCAATGCATTATCACTTTGGTAAGCATTTATACGATATATGAGACAATGAAGTTAATAGATATGTCAATGAAGCATATTAAAAGTTTAAACCATGTGTGGACTTTATAATGAAAAATAAAGAGAAAATGGATTCTTTTGATAAGAAAATAGAAAGCATGCTGAAGGAATGTGAGAATGATCCTGCAAATGAATTGTCGAGAAATAGGAAAGATGTTGAAGAGGTGGGAAAGCTTATGGGGATTTCTATCCTAAAAGACATTGAAATCAATGTTTTAAATGTGTAAAGTAATAAAGGAAGTGGAAAGAAGAATAGAGTTCAAAGTGTAGCTGAAAAAACATACAAAAATTCAAACAAGCAAACAAGAAGATGCTCAGGATGTGGAAAAAGGGCTCTTCATAACTTGCATACATGACCTACCAAACATGCAGCAAAATAATCAACAATAGCTACATAGATAATTACTAGTTTAATCAGTAATGAATAACTCAGTAATTTTTATCTAAATATTATACTTTTTGCTTGATGCTTTTTAGTCTTTTTAAAATACAAAATGTATTATGGCTTTGTTTACTAATTTCTATCTAGTTTGATATAATTTTCTTTGATTTTGTTAGTTATAGAAAAAATATATTTATCATTTTCAAATGTATTTTTTACATTTAAAAAAATGATTTCGTTTACTAATTTCTATCTAACTTTATGTCTTTTATGATTACAAATGCACATAATCACTTATGATTACAAAAGCAAATATGATTAAAAAAATTTGTTTTACATAATCATTTATGATTATAAAAACATAAAAAATTATATAATATATGTTATCTATTGTTCAATATATTTAATCATTTACAATTACAAAAACATAAAAATTTATGAAATATTTGTTATATGTTGTTCAACATATGTAATCACTAATGATTACATATAAACAACATATAAGGGGTACCAGTAACTTAGTAACATATAAAATCATAACATATTCACTTCTTATTAATGTTGCATAATATAATTCATAAAAACAAACTTACATAATCAAATCAATCAAAATACATGTTAAATTGTTTACAATATCCATCAAAATAGAAACATACATTTTTTAGAATATCCATAACCATACATACGAAATATACCAACATAAAACAAACTTCTTCCTAAAACAACATCAACATGCAAAAAAAACATCTAATTAACTGTCATCCATTAAATTCCAACATGAGAAAATATTCAATCAAATAAAACTTGCAAACCTAGTTTCTATATCAGATTGAGCGTTATATGAATGCTTACCATGAGTCTGTCCATCAACTTTATGATAATCATAAGCAACTTTCAAGACAAAAACACGTTTCAAATTAATCTGAGAAGTTAAAATTGTTGCCACATATTTCATTCTCAACTTCTCCAAAAAATTTCATAAGCGGGACCTTCTTTTTTGAAAACCAAATTTCCATTTTGAACCTTGTTCTTCAAAATAACTCTCCATATGCCACATAGAAAAAACACCACAATCCATTTTGTTGTAAACTTACCTCCATGGCATTATTAATCTTATTGTTTTAATATTTTTATCAGCCATCTATTTGATTTAACATGCTTGATCTCTTTTAGACACTTCAAAAAAAATTTCTGAAAATCATATATGATTTTATATTAGAAAATTTTAAAGTATAATATTTATAAAACATCTAACTGACAGTTACAAGAGGTTTAAAAACTACTCCATACTTATTATTAAGAACAATATCATCTGCACCATTGTCAATAACCTCAAAAGCAGGTTTCTTCGTGTTGATAACAATAACATATATATGCTTTTGCTTCAAAACAGGGAAAAATACCTAAAATTCATATGTGTAATATTAGAAAGAAACATCAGTATATTAATATATATATATATATATATATATATATATATATATATATATATATATATATATATATATATATATACCATGTCAAAATCTTTCAAAACCTTCAAGTCTCTATCACCCGAAACACTGATAGAGAAGTTGTCCTTGAAAACTTTGTATTTTCCATCTTCCTTCAAGTGATTATAATCAAATGACAAAGTCTGTAATATAAAAAAATCTGTAATGACTATAAAGTATTTAAAATGAAATTACTAGAGACCCTATAGGTTAACGTTTTAGGTCAGACATGAAAATACGCAATATGAAATCGTAAAATTAAAATTGAATATAAATTAAAATCATAACTGAATATTTTCATGTTATTGATATATAAAAAATGTAAGTAGTTAATATAAAAAATCATTAATGATTATAAAAACATGAAAAGAAATAAATAAAATAAAAATTTAAAGTATTAACATTCATGAACAATCTGTGTGTCGATTTAATAACATATCTGAATTTCTCTTCATGGTTTAGTATATGAGCCCACAAATTAAGAACACTTACATGCACATAGGTTTTTCTGTAGAGAATTTAAAAATTCTGTCTAAATCCAACAATATCTGAATCCATAAGAGTCATCATATTCATATACATATTTATTCAAATGTTATTAAAAATAAAACTTATCTTTATAATTGTTTAATTTTATCTTTAAAAAACTTACCTTCGATTTCCATGAAGGCTTAAAAGCCATTGACAAACAATATTTTTTTTTCTATTGTCAAACTTGGTTTAAAATCAATTAACTTTTCCTTAAAGGTGACTTATAAATGTAAGTAAACTTTATTTCTCTCTTTGTTTTAACATATACTTCTAATGGTCCTTCTTCATTTATATCTTTTGGTTGCACGAACTTTGCTTTTAGTGGACCTTCTTCATTTATCACTCTCTGTTGGTCTAAATTTAATTTTGATGGTTCTTCTAATGTAGCCAAAGGAGGTGCAAAAGAAATTGAATTAGCATCAATAACATATACATTTGGACCAACAGATTGTTGCCTTGGACTTGCTTTTGCCAAATAAACTCTATCCTGAAACTTTTTATTTTTCATCATTTCAGGAGAACTTTGATTTTGAGATGGCTTTTGAGAATCTTGACTAAATCCAAGGTTAAAGCTTAGACCAAAAAACTTCTCAATTTTCCCTTCAAATTTGCCTATTGTCAATGATTTTGTCTCATCTGAATCCTTTCATTCTATCACTTTTTGATCTTTATATCTTTCATCACCTTCTTTAGTAGTTTCCTCTGCAACTACCTCATTCTCCTCTTTTTTAATTTTTTTCCATCTTTAACACTTGAATCCTTGACAATTTTGTTTTCATTATTGTTTTGATCTCTCACTTCCTTCAAATAGTATTGATATCAATCTGGATCATACCAATACTCTAAAGAATCATGACTAACAATTGGAACACCAAAAATAGTTTCTACACCTACAATTTAAAATTATAAATGAATGTAAAACAAAAAACTATTCAAACATAAAAAAATCTTATTAAACACAATCATATATGAATAAAAAATATTTATAAACTAGTTACCTTTGTCTTTATTTTTATTTGAATCGTCTTCTACCCCTATTGCCAAATCAATACCAAATTCACCACCTTCACCTTCTACCACAACTTGTCCATCCTTCTTTGTTTTAGGATTTTCAACTTCACCTTCAGCACAACTTTTAAACAGACTTGCAACAATTAATTCATCTTCTATCTTCTTTTCTCCAATAAGTTTATCAACAATATCATCTGAAATTCCTTCTTTGATTTTATCATCCTCACCCAAATTTACAGTCCCTGATTTATTAAAATCATAAGTGAATAATATATATAACATATATATATATATATATATATATATATATATATTATGTACAAACAATAAATACACAATATACTTACCTTCACAAAAGTGTCATTTTTATCATCATTTTTATCATTCAACACATCATTATTTTTAACGATCTGGTACTCATGTATATGATCATTAACATCACCTTCAACACCATCAACTTTACCTTGATCATTTTTATCAATCTAGTCGCCAAGTACGGTGTCATTGTGATCTGCTTTAGCACCACCACTTATCCCTTTGATTATCATATTCATCATCATTTATAAAATCATTTCTATAATCTTCACTATCATCTTCATCCTCATTTAATTATGTGCGTTCCTATTCATTACTATATTAAGCAAAAGCAGGTATCAACATTGGTTGTTCAGAATATCAAGAATCAGGATTGAATTTGAAAATTTTTGTACTTAAATCGTCATTTGACAACATGTAGTGAAATATGAGCATTTGATTTAGCATGCAGAATTAAAATAACACAAAGAACACGGTGATTTGGGTGTTAAAAGACGTATTCGATCATAGAAAATGAGTACAAAAAGGGATCTAGATCTAGCTCTACATAAATATCCCACTCACTAGTTACAATGAACTACATCTCTCAAGCACACTCTACAAGTGTTATGCAACCCACTATATATAGAGGTGCTAACATGTCTCTCTCTCTCTCCCTCTCTCTCTCTCTCTCTCTCTCTCTCTCTCTATATATATATATATATATCCCCATCTCTCATGTCACAAGGCATCAATACCATATGCAAGTGGGTCTTCTCAATCCAAACCTTCACTAGTCATCTAATGGAGAGCTTTGTACCCAACATTCTCCCCCTCAAAGTTAGGAATGGATGACTCATCTTCAATATTCCAAAAATGAGCAACTTCACGAACTAAGCCTCAAGCGTGACTAATGTAGAAATGAACTTCAAATCTTCAATTATTTAATGACCTTCCAATCCGGGTTCTAGAGTATGAGACCTTACAACCCGTGCATCAAAAGGTAATTCTTGAGTATCCAAACGTCCATAACATATTACCCAAAATTGAGTATTAAAGCACACCCTAAAAATATTTATTAAGTCCAAACCCATTATGAACCGGGAAAACCCAAACCACTTCCGAATATCAAATCGAATCACTTCATAAACTTCGATTGCTCATGGTCACTTCGGTCTTCAATTCCGCATAATATGAAAAATTCACAACTTTCAAATTCTCATATTTAATTCTCTCCCCCTTTTATAATCGAAAATTGATTATAAACTGAAACGAAATGAGAAAGGGCTCAATTCGGAATTTTCCATACAAAAGTCTCCCTTAACACATGGCATAAATGTTTTGCACAAATTCGGAAAATCCAAAAATATCACAATTTTCGAATTCGATACTTCTCAGACCTCCTTTGACATAAATTTCTAATTTTTTTGTAGAAACTGTCAATTTTGAAATTCTGTAGTGACCCGTTGCGTCAAAACAACCTCAAATGCGGAATTTTACCCCAGATGTGAATTTGGCCATATAGTGTCAATTCGCATCAACTGCAGGGACCTGTTTTGAAAATTCTCCAATTTGATAGAATTTTTAGCCCAATTGCGAAACTGGGTAAATTCTGGCAACTTGCGAAAACTGCAGGTATGCGAAATGAAAATTCAGCATTTTGCACATTTTATGACCCCCATTGCGAAAGTGGGTTAAACTGTCACTTCTTTGAAAGTTCAGGGATGCAAAGCAAACATTTGCCTTTTTCACCACTTGTTAACAGATGCGAATGAACCCAAACATTAGTAGCAATGCAAAAACGATCGATGCGAACGAAATGCTACCCATAGATGCGAACAAGCCATTTTGATCTCATAAGCGAAACTGATATTAACCTCAATCCAATCGACGATCTTAAATGTGAATCCTTGTTTGACCATCAACGCAATCGACCAATTTACAACGCAAAGGTAGTTCGATTCGAACGATTCCAAAATAAAATAGCAAAGCCTTCACGTCTCTAACTCAATTAACCCATAATGAAAATGAATTCGATCTCAATCTGTTCCATGCCAAAACAACTTTGTATGTGAACTCTTACAGACTTCCCAAACAATTGGACTTTCGTATGATGAAATTATCACCTTTAAGCATAATCTGCAAATAAGAGTCTATCATTATTGAATACCTTTAAGCAGTTCTATGGGTTGAGAAAATTAGTAAAAAGAAAGCAATTAAACTTCCTCTTCTTAAGTCTGAAGAAATTAAAGCAAAATCTTTTTGTGAGAGAAAAACCTCTTTTTATTCGAAGTTCTATTAATAAAGTCATGCAATAATGGGACTAGCATATTTGTTATTGGTTGTAGATGTATATAAGTGGTGATCGGTGGTTTTCAAAGAATAAGATAATAAGAAGAGGGAAGAAAGTTCAAGAAAGTCTTTGAAATTCTTATAATCTTTCTTTTTAAGTTTATTTTATGCAAGTGATGTGGTGGCTTAAAGCATGAACGTGTAAATTTTTGTCTTCCGTTTAACTCATTAGGCATAAATGGTACACCAAAACTTTTAGCTAAAACACCATTCTTTATAAATTATAGATTAAATCTAAATCAATGACCATATATTATCACTCTAACGATAATATATGTTGGGTGTTTTGACATGTCTATTTTCTTAGGTGTGTGATATGTCAATCTCAGAAAGGCCATAAAGATATGTGCTTTGGATAAGTATATAGAAGCTTATAGCCATTAAGATCTAACAAAAATATGCAAAAGAGGTCTTACCATGAGTATGGGACAGAAAATTTGTAAGTTTTTTTCCTTTTGAAAGAGGACGATGTCGTGTCTCCTAATAATATCTCTTTATTGTCTCATTTTTTTTTCTTGTGGTTTATTCTCTCTAGGGAACCTGGCATTCATCTAACAGAACTTTAGTCTCTGGTCTCAGGTTTGCATCAAACATGAATCCAAAATAACTGACAGAAAAGTAAAATCTCAAGTATTGGTAGTTGTACATGTAAAAAGAGAACTGATAAAATATCATCTTGTTTATAAATAGAATGAGCTTGTAAATATTTGTATGTAAAGTTAGTTTAAACTTCACTTCTTGCAGATTGGTCACAGGAGGCCATATACCTACGAAGTCATTGTTTTAAAGGTCAAGATACCATTAAATGTATTGATGTTAAGGTCAATTATATATATATATATATATATATATATATATATATATATATATATATATATATATATATATATATATATTAATGTTCTTAGAACTCTCATAATTTGTAATTTATTTGAATAATGTTCTTCTCGTGGTAATTTTTTTTGTTGAAACTTGACAGGATTATGACCATGTATTGGAATACTCAGAAATGGAGGCAAATGAAGTGGACAACCTTATAATGTTTTTTTCTCACAAAAGAGAAAATGGAGTTGCCTAAGGTAAAATGTCAATTAAGCTTTCTAAAATGTCAAATAACGGAAACAAGCCGGTTTAAAAGACAATTAAGGCGTTTTTGTGCTTAGACTTACAGAGAGATGTTTAACTCCATACCACTAAAATATATTAAATTATATCAATAATCTTTGGCTTAATGAAAAAAGTGGCAACATATTCCATTAATTTGCAGGGATGAAATGAGTGCTTTGGAATCTTCTTAACCCGATCAGGTGGGTATTCACTTTTCTATTTTCTCTATCATATCATCTTGTATTGTATTGCATGTTAAATTACTGATTTGCCATGTTCATGTTCTGATAGCTCTAGCAACCTCCTTCCACACCCTGCAGCCTCTCAAAGTTCATACATTCATACATTCAGGTTATTCTCTTAGAAAGGAAATTATCAAAGGATATTGTCAAAGGAGAATTAATTCATGGGTTTCTTTTAATGTTGTAGATGTTTTGTTTTCTATAATAAATATTATGCAATATTAGCAATGTGTTATATTTACTTACTATTGGAATGATTATTTGTATTTCACATATTAGTGCAATGAATTATTTTTATTGTTTATGGTATTTTATTTTGTATTATGAGACTTATAATGTGTTATTTAATTTGAAAATTAGTAAGTCTATCAAAAATATATAATTTTAAAAACATTTAAAATTATGAAACGCAAAAATGTGTGTCGTCTTCCTTTATGACAGGGGATTTCTTGATACGCATTGCGTGTCATAAACACGCGCGTCGTAAGGTTACGACACGCAAATGCGTGTCGTCTTCCGTTATGACACGGCCTTCCGTGATACACATTGTGTGTCATAACTACGCGTCGTAAATGTATGTCATAAATGTGCGTCGTAAATGCGCGTCGTAAATAGACGACGCGCAAAAGCGTGTCGTCTCTCGTTATGACAGGGCCTTCCTTGACACGCATTTACACGTCGTCTGAGCGTTTTACGACACGCATTGCGTGTCGTACAAGGCTGTTTTTCTAGTAGTGACAAGCATCGTAATTAAAGCATGGGGCACAAGATGTGCTAGAAACAAGAAAGCAAGATGTAAAGGAAGTGTCCCTGAACCTTGAGTATCATGAAGCCAAAATTTTCATAGGATCCTCAATGCCTGAACAAATCAAACAAGATATAATAAAGTCCCTCAAAGCTAAAAGCAAGACATTTGCATGGAATCACGAGGACATGACAGGTATAGACAAAAATATAATAACCCATAAACTTAACATTGATCCATCTTTCAGACCAATACACCAAAAGAGGATGAAGTTCGCACTGGAGAGAAACCAAATTATACAAGAAGAAGTAGAAAAATTTCTTAAAACAGGAATGTTCAAGGAGGTGAAATTCCCATGGTGGCTAGCTAATGTATCCGTGGTAGAAAAGAAGAATGGAAAGTGGAGAATGTGTGTAGATTACGTGGTTCTTAACAAGTCTTGTCCCAAGGATCCTTTCCCTTGACCACACATAGACTCCATGATAGACGCGAAAGCGGGTCATGAATTATTAACATTCATCGATTCATCAGCGGTATTCCAACAGATCCAGATTGAACCATCCGACCAAGAGGATACAACATTCATAACTCCAATAGGTATCTATTGTTATACTGCCATGCCATTTGGTCTTAAAAATACAGGTGCAACATACAAAACACCAGTCAACAAGATGTTCAAAGAGAAACTGGGGGACAGAATGGAATTCTACATCGATGACATTGTCGTCAAGTCTAAGAAAGCCGAAGATCGTCTCAAGGATCTTG